AAGAGGAAGGAAGCTAAGGTAAAAATGGTGTCTTGAAGGTTTGCACAAGCAAGAAGAACAAGGAAGAAGTGGCAGATCTCCCGACTCAGAAATTCCACGCAAGAGGCACAACAAACTGACCTAGGATCATTTGCCAAGGCTATTTATAGGCCACTTAAGTCTTAACCGCACTGTATTAGCGCTAATTGCTACGCTTAGCAATTTAATCCCAAATTTAGGATTCAGAACCTACTCATTTTTCTAAGATTTATCATATTTTTATTTTATTTTTCGCAACACATTTCCGGTATGCGCTTTTTCCATAGCCAGTATCAGTTCTGGCACCAGTTCACATTATTTTAACTTGAAACTTGTTTTACAAGTCCTACATATTATTCTAGTGACATATACACCCTTTTCATAATTTTCCGGGATACTTCATAGGTACGCATTTATAGCGAGTAGCAGAATCGGTATCTGCACTTTTGCCAGAAAAATGACTTTCATCATTATTAATCACTTACCAATATTATTTAGGCCTTATCATAATTATTAGGGTCAATTATGAAATTATTTCCTAATTTCTCACAATTAATTAATTAACTTCCTTAATTAACAGTGCGGGATCTTACAGTTTCCCTTTTACATTTTTCTTTTTATTACTAAGTAGGTAGGTATATTTATATGTACTTTATTATTGCATGTACTCCACTTATAGTATGAGATATAAAAAGAACTCTTAAAGATGGAAAATAATTCAGACCGATTTTTCATAAAAAATAACCAAGTACATCGAGAATAATCATCAATAAAAGTTACAAAATATTTGTATCCCATAGTGGAAACGGTACGACTAGGGCCCCAAATATATGAATGAACTAAAGCAAAAGGAGACGAAGACCGACGACTGACACGATCGGGAAATGAACTACGAGTGTGCTTCCCTTACTGACATGACTCACATGACAAACTAGATAAAGTAGAGAAACGTGGGACCATCCCTACGAGTGGAGCTTAGCAAGACTCATATGACCCAACTGAGCGTGGATAGTAAGCGGAGAATCCAAAACATAGCATATTGAGACAGAAGTCGAAAGCTGATAAAGGTCGTTGGACTCAGATCCGACGCCAAGTGTCCTCCTCGAGCTCCGATCCTGCAAAATGACAGACTCTTTAGTGAAGGAAATAATACAGTCAAGGGATTGAGTCAAGCGACTAATGGAAATAAGGTTGAAACGAGAATTAGGAACATACAGGACATTGTTAATGGGAATAGAAGGAAAAAGGAGAACAGTGTCAATCCCTTGGGACTGAACCAGTGACCCATTAGCCATAGTGATACTGGGCAGGGGACCAGACGTACAGAGAGAGGTGAATAAAAAATTATTACCAGAAATATGGTCAGATGCACCAGAATCGAGAATCCATAGACCAAGAGAGGGCGAGTGAGAAAAACCAGCAAAGGAATTACCCGTGTGTGCACCAGAGGCAGAGGTACCAGGAGGACGCTTCTCTTCATACCAGTGCAAGAAGTCAGTGAGAATAGACGGAGGTGGCTGTGGTGCAGCCATCAAAGCAGAGTCTGAGGTAAGAGCATCACTCTGAGCAAAATTAGCAGAGCAAGAATGGAGACCGTGAAGATCCCAACAACGATCAATAGTATGGCCCGACTTGTTGCAATGAGTGTAGAGAAGTCATCCCTTAGAGGGTTTGCGTCCACGTGCATAACCCTTGGAAACAAGTGCAGAAGGGTCAATTGAAGAGGGAGCAGATACTGCAGGCTCCATGGAAGACTTAGGTGGAATTCGAAGCAATGTATACCAAGCAGAGTCCAGGGATGGAATAGTAGTAGAGCCCAAGATCTTATCCTGGTTGACAGAGTACTCCGAGGGCAAGCCATAAAGAGCCATGAGCATGAAGAATGTGTTGCGTTTCTCAAGTTCCTTAGCAGGGTCTACGGCAGGCGGCAAAAGTTCATTGAAATCATGAAGGAGACCCTGAACTTTTCCCAAATAAGCAGACATAGAGACTTCAAAGTGTTGATCAGCAATAACAGTTATCAAATTTTGACAAACACCGTAGAGTCGCCGAGTGTCATTGGTATAAAGTGACTTGACCTTACGCCAAACAGACTCACAAGTGATGTGAGCACGGAAGATCTGCTTCAATGACGGGTGGATGGTAGACTTGATGATGCTACATAACTGAGCATCAACCTTTTTTCCATCGAGGGCGTTCATCTACCTAGATGGACTCAGCCTTAGTAATGAGATGGTCAACATAATCCTGTCCATCAAGCCAAAGTCAGAGATCAGAAGCCCAAGAATCATAATTGGAGCCATCCAACTTGTCGACGTGCAGCGGAACATTAACATAACTAGTAAAAACAGGTGTGTCATTCTTTTGAGAACCCTTGGATGCATCGTAAGGTGACGAATCAGCCATAGGTCACCTGAAACAAAGATGAACAGTAATGGAAAGCAAAGAACCATGCGTGAATATTAACCAACAAGGGAAAAGACGCTGTGGGAAGCCGTAACGAAGTCAAAAACACAAAGTGAGGACAGATCCAAATGCGCAAGGAGAAGACGAGGTGAACCGTGGTGGTCTAACGGCAAGCTGGAACCGCACGCGCCGCTGCAAGAAAGCGGGCTGCAGATGCTATCTCACGCGTGTGAGAGCGCATGGCTGAGAATCTGGAGGTGGGTCCTGGACAGAGAAGACCGCCTCGTCGTGGCGAGCAGAACAGTGGTGGTTCGCCGGTAAAATTGCCGAAATAGTCGTCAGAGACGGCGGTCAATGGCAGCGGACGACAGTCAACGATGGTTCCTGACAGCGACAGTGATCAGATAGGTCCTTAGACGATATATAGAAGTCGGAAACTAACAGATATGACTGTTTTCGGAAATAAAAAAAATTTACTCAGCGAACAGTGGTCCACCGGAAAGACGCGGATTAAAATTCCTCTTGTGAGACTCTAGATACCATGTTAATTATCAAGATACAAGAGATATTGATTGTAATCCTTGTGTCAACTACACGAAGGAGATTTCATTTATATATTAAACCAAATAAGAGATACAAAGAAATATACACAATGTGGGACTTCTATGACACTATTTACAACAACAAGAACTATTTAATTCTCTTAAAATATTATTGTGATAATCATCTTATTTACTGATATAAAAAATAAGAAACTATATGTAAACAATATTTTTAAAGTTAAAGTATTTTTTAATTAATTGAGAAAATTATTATATTGATGTTTTAAGAGAATTTTTCTTTAAAATATAAAATTCTCATTGCTTAAAGCAGTGACGGTGAGCTTGTAAGTTGTCACTGTCAGACAACTTGCCCTTCACGTGAGAAGATTTTTTTGTGATACCGGACCATGGTGGTCCCTCCCGAAAAAAAGAAAGAAAAAAAAGAACGGAGAGGAAAAAGTCAAAAAAAAAAGAAGGGTAGAAATGAAAGAAAAATTTTTATTTATAGAAAAAGAACTACTGAATAAATGGTGAGCGAGCATGTTAAATTTTTTCGCTCCACCTCCAGGCTCTAGCGTAACAAGGTCCAAATGTTCCGTTCTCTTCACCAAGTCTCACCCCATTACGATACAACGTCTATCCCCCGTTACTGAATACTGACCTGCACGATGAGAGAAAATTTTTATGACGAGGATGATCATGGTTGATTAAGTGGTCCCTTTATAAAAATTAAGAAGGTAAAAAATGAAAGAAGAAAAATAGCAAAGATAAAAAAAGAAAAAGAAAAAATTAATCTTATAAGAAAACACGAGTTCAGATGTTTCCGGATCTTAAAAAATAGAGTAAATATTATTTTCAGTCCTCAATAAATTTTATGATACCTGCTTTAGTCACTAGCAAATAAAAAGGCTATTCGTGGTTACTAAGAAATTCAAAGTGGACCCGTTTTAGTTCTTTCGATGGACTAATATGAGTCTTTTTTGAATTTGTGAGAGATCACAATTTTAATTAAATGGGTCCATTTGAATTTCTTAGGACCACGAATAATTTTTTTATTTGCTAAGTACTAAAGCTAGCATCACGAAATTTAATGAGGACCAAAAATAATATTTACTTTAAAAAATATTTCCCTACAGGATAGAAGAATAAAAGTCACTTCTGGATGGGCTTTTTTTCCTTCAAAAGCTACTTTTTTTAAGAAAAAAAAAGCACTTCTCGAAAAAAGTCTGTTTGGATGCCTGCTTTTAAAAAAGCAGAAGTCATAAAAAAAGTCAAAAACCTATTTTTTTCGGAAGTTAAAATTTTTAGCTTTTACAAAAAGCAGAAGTCAGAAGTCAATTTTTTTAAAAAAAAATCAAATATTTTTTTAAAAATCTAAATAGTTGTAACTTTTATAGAAAGTACTTTTAAAATAAGGAAGTGATAAAAAAAGACTTTCTTCAAAAGTCAATACAAACGACCCCTAAAGGTGCGTTTGTATTGATTTTTTAAAAAAGTCCTTTTTAAAAAATTTTGACTTCTGCTTTTTTTAAAAGTTAAAATTTTTAATTTTTGAAAAAAGTAAATTTTTGACTTTTTTTTATGACTTCTATTTTTTTTAAAAGAAGACATTCAAACAGACTTTTTTCAAAAGCAGACATTCAAACGGACTTTTTTCAAAAAATACTTTTTTTCTTAATAAAAATAACTTTTAAAGAAAAAAAATCTCTTCCAAAGAGACTCTAATAGCATCACAATACAAATCAACAAGGATAAGAATAATTGGACCACAAAATACCTGTCAAACGTTAATCGAGCCAACAGGCGTCATCCGTCACATGAAACTTGAATTTATATCCGGAAGCCCGACTATAATATCATTATCATTATTATTATTATTGTGGATTTTTACTTTCTTCTGAAATTGTGGCATCATCAGAACCACATAAAGCGGCATATATAGGAAGCGTCGCCGATTTGTCTATATTAGCAGCGTTAAAACGGAACAGTGAACAAAATGGAAATCCAAACAGCTACCAGTACCACCACCAACAATTTCAAGCTCAAGCTCAATTTAAAATGTATCCAAGATCATATATTTATGTATATAATCGTATTTCATAGCTCACTAAACTTTTTTTTTTTTTTTTTTTTGTTTTTATGTTTTTACTTTCTATGGGTCATCAACTCATCAACTATTGCGTATTTGGTATTTCTGATTTATCCACTTTACATCAGTGGCAGTAATTATTGCAGTGAGCCCCACCATTAAGGAATCTAGGGCTTCCGTTGAAGTGCTCCGTGTACCAACAACCTTTCACCGCCCCGTTAGGGACACCGATTGGATATCCAACCGGCGCCGGCGAACAATTTTGGCGGATAAACCGATGCGCCATCGAATACGGCGGGGATTCGACGGAGGCGTGAGACGAACCGGAAGGAGAGTGAGTGGCGCTGGAAGAAGAAGACGGAGAAGGTGATAATTTCTTGAGAGATTTGATCGGCGAAAGAATGACTCTGATCTTCAACGGATGAGCTAACGATGAAGAAGCTCGATCATATTCCTCGATTATATTGGCAAGATCTTCGTCGCTGGTGATCGAAATCAAGGTTTCCAAGTCACCGTTCGGCAATGGACACCGCAGTGTGACCGACGAACCACACAACTCGCCAAGCTTCACCATCAACTCTGCAAAACGCAATCATACGCACGACGATCTCGAATAAATCAACCAAATTAAGGAAGACGAAGGTGAAATTGAATGAACAAGCGAATCGGAAACGAACCTGAGAAAGAAATGGAAGGATGGAGAGCGAGGACTCTGGTGTGGCCGCCGGAGTAGCGCAGCTTGCCGTCGGTGAGGCGAGGGAGGATCTTGCCGCCGTAGCTACAGAGGAACTTAACTGTAGTACTGTTACAAAGTGTGGGTTTGGATTCCATGCTGGCACTCTCGCGGTTTAGTTAATTAGTTAGCAGTTCCGTTGAAGAGAAGAGAGGAAGAAGGAAGGAAGAGGTGTTGGAAGTGTTAGTGCTTGAAAACTCTCGTTCCTGAGTTTCAGGGGTATTTATAGGAAGTGTAGGCCTACGACACGGTAGATAAAGACCCACACCACACGGCACACGCTATCTCCTGTCGTATGTTCTTTACTTTTCACTTTCATACAAGCAAACTAATGAAAGGTGCCTTGTTTTGCTTTTATTATTAAGGTTTTGTTTGTCGATGATCTTTCCTCAAGGAAACACTTAGGGGGTGATTCTTTCAAGTTTTTGGGGAGGATTACCGGTAATCTTTCTTTGGTAAATGTAATTATCATGTTTGGTAAAACGAATAAATTACGATTCCCGGATATCCAAGGATTACCGGTAATTTGATTTATAAAGAAAAGTCACTATTCAGATTACCAAAAATAATATGGTAATTCAGAATACCAATCAGAATATCAAGCAAAAGGAAAGCACAACAATAAATTTTGAGACAAAAATACCCCAATACACATAAAAATCTAGACTCAATCTATCAATTACAAAAGTAAAAATAGTTTGGGGTTATTTTTGTAAAATAACCTCATATTTCGTTCTAAATCAAATATGGAATCAGTAATTTTTACCCAATATTCCCGGTAATATTTTGGCGAACCAAACACCTCTTTCGTAAGATTCCAAGTAAACTCAATTTCTACTGAATTCCCATTAATCATGATTCCCGGTCACAAAAAAATTTCTCCGGTACCAAATACACCCTTAACACTTTTTTATTACATTTTTTAAAATTATTTAAAGAAAAATTAATACCTTTTGATTTTGCCATATATTAATGACCATGACCACTTGGCCAGTCAATTTTCTTTTTTCGTTTCTTCTCTATAATTTAACTAATAACAATACTCCAGAAAGGATCCTCTAATTCCGGTTATTTTCGTTACCAGACAAATTTTAATATTGAATTTTAGAGGCAGTGTTTGTCGCGGGTTCGGTTTACGTCTTCAAATGGGGATCTAATTTGACACCATTGCGCCTGACGAAAGTGTGAGCGAATGAAATGCTTCCAGTTTTCGGATTGCATTATCTCGGCATGGAATCCGATCACTCCTTTTTTCTTTTCTTTTTTCATTTGGGTACTTGATTATTGAGTTAAAATTGATTATACCAATATTCAAGTTTATAATAACAGAAAAATTATAAACATATGTAAATCGTGTAATTCTTGAAAATCTTATCTCGTCAATTGATTGACCTCATAAAGAGAGCAGTTGTCAACACTTCACTTTAGTAAGTGTCATTTTAAAAGAGGAATGTGCAGTTAGAAGCATATCAACTCAAGTGGGAGGAATCTTGTCCCCTTAATTAAAAGAAAAATAACTCAATATCCTTAAACCATGTCAATTAAGTGCAATTCGCGCGCATATATATATATATATATATATATAAAAGTAAAGTTATATTGACAATTTTTTTTTTCCTTATAAACTTACAAATTACACTAATGTGCCATTAGAAGCATATCAACTCAAGTGGAAGGAATCTTGTCCTCTTAATCAAAAAGAAAAATAACTCGATATCCTTAAACCATGTCAATTAAGTGCAATTCGCGCACGCGCACATGTATATATATATATATACATAAAAGTAAAGTTATATTGACAAATTTTTTTCTTATAATCTTACAAATTACACTAAGTCTGATTAGTCAGACACTCTTGATTGAAATCTGATTAGTCAAACTTAGTATAGTTTGTAAGAAAAAAAGTTTGTCAATATAATTTCTCCATATATATATATATATATATATATATATATATATATATATATATATATATATATAAGAGAAATATATTTATCAAGCAGCTTCAGATATATTTATCTCCGTCTATCCAAAAACTACGTCATTTTATTTATTTATTTCTTTATATTAATTGATTCACCTTTGAATGATTATGATTTTTTTTCTTTATCACCATTGATCTATCTTTGTACGGGTATGATTTAATAACAGGAAATAAAATTATTTCAAGCAACTTGAAAAACGATAAGTCTGTATATATAAACATTTTTAAAATTTACAATGGCTCACGTAATTACATGTATTTTATAGGGAAAATGTCAAGATGTCACTTCAACTTATTCTATAAAATAAATTGCATCAATCAATAGATGCTCAAATCTAAAAAATTCTAACATTATCTCACTAAAGATATCTTAATTGAATTTTATTTATTTTCAAGTTCATTCTAAAAATGACTCTCAGGTTAAACTCTTAGTTCACTAATAATCACATAACTAATATTGACCTTATCAGTATTCATCGGTGTAAGTGTAGGCACACATCATCCTATATTATATGTCCCTTTCATATTATTGTGTATGGATGCTACATTGTGTCTTCTCCAAAATACACTAACACAACAATCTCCCGTAGAAGATCACAAACATGTTTTACATGAAACATTATTCTCCATAGGAAACTAAAATATCATGGGATAAACACAGTAAAAGAATTTCCCAATAATTATTGCATCAATAATAATGTAAAATGTCACCGTGCATATAAATTAATCAAACCAAAATTATAATAAGTTTAATGTAATAAATGCAAACACAAAATAATGAATAACAATTCCTTCTAACCAAATACATCAAATTAATAAGGACCTTATAATACCCATGTTATCAACATTTTTCATAAATAACGTAATCACTACAATTTTTTAGCATACGAGGATTAAATTTTTAATTAGTTAATTATCGGCGAGATAGCTGAGAATGAAGAGATTCTTATTGAGCATACGATGTGAATTTTTTTTTTCCGGGTAAATTATGAAAATGTATTTGGTATGTCAAAATTTTCAGGAAAAGTTGGGTTTTTGATGTTATATTTGGTTGATTGTAAAATATTGATGAGAATCTGAACCGAAATGAAAAAATTACCCATTTTTACACATCTGCTGATAAATTGTATAAGGGCATTTTGTTATCCAAATGTGAAAATGTGTTTCCTAGTTGGTGGGAAAAAAATAATACTATAGATAAGATGAGATTATTTTTTTCCCATGTGTAGTTAAAAAATGGGAATGATGGAAAAAAAAATTCCTTAGATTTTTGTACTTTTATTCATATCAAACATAATAATAAAAAAATTTCCACCCCACTTTCCCAATATTTCAACCAAAAAACTTACACCAAACACCCCTAAAAGTCTAAGCGCCTTATTTAGGGGTCAACAAGCATCTCATGTATTAGAATATGCTCAATAAGAATCTCTTCATTCTCAGCTATCTCGCAAATAACTAATTAAAAATTTAATCCTCGTATGCTAAAAAATTGTAGTGATTACGTTATTTAAGGTAAATGAGAAAACAGAATTGTCGTCACAGTAAATTTTGAAAATGGGATTCACAATTCCAAGCACACACAACATATTATGCAAGGAAAATCATTTGGTTATGTTATTGAAAATCTACTGTTGTTTCCTGCAGACACATCCATACCTGTGTATCACTTTTTACTTTTTGTTTTTTTTATAAAAATTGATGGGGCCCACTGCATTGTGAGGATAGCATGATGAAAGCTCAATCCTGTGACATAATATTCATAAATCCCATAATGGAATCCCATAACATACAACAAACTTTGCTTGTGTAGTGGAAGAGACTGTTAGAGTTTGTTTTGCACTTTTTCAAGATACAATTCTTTTGGCCAGCATAATTTTTTTTCTAGAAGTAGATTTCTCATAATTCAGACAACCAGCAAAGCTAATCTGTGTAGCCAGCAAGTGAACAAGATTTTAGGTCTTATATAACAATTCAACACACTTTTTAATTGGGTCCGAGTCCAATAAACACATAATTAATTATTAATTTTCAATAAATGATAATCGTTGATTGACGGTAATCAACGGTTAGGATTTGATGCTAAATTTTAAAGTTTGACACCAATATCAAAGGATCTTATCCCATCATGTAATTTTATGGTCTCAATAAAAATATGTCAAATTATTCATTTAACTCATTTCATAAAATAAATTGCCCCAATTAATATAAAATCAAGTATAGAAAATTTGTAACATATTGTTTCCCCAGCAGTCTCGTAACCGTTAGATCATGTCAACATTTTTGGCATAATATTATTGGTTTAGTTTTGAGGTTTTCTTTTTCATTAAATAGGTGGAAATGACAATTCGATGCACTAACATTTTACTGTATGTTTATTTCACCCTTTTTGACTCTCGCCTCTTACGTGTCTCGTGCGTGTATCTGAAAACACAGTCACCGTTCAATTAACTCCGCAAATACTATGAAACCTATGATTCAACAGTTTCTTTATAATTATATAACCTTCGGCAATATTCTGCTGGCACGTTGGTTGGAAATGTGTCCATATGCCAAAATAATCTGTAATATCCTGCTCAAAATTCGGCATATGATATATGAGCAGTTAGATAGAAGCACAGCATTTGATTCACTTTATTGAAAAGGTAATCTGAATTAATAGGTAGTATTTCTTCCAATAGAATCTTTAGTTGACTATTTTTAACTTGTACTTTATGCTTTAAGAGTCCATTTTAATCAATTTCCAAATACACTACAATAATAACGATAATATATAAGACTCATATGCTTCGGGTGAATGCAATTGAAAACAAACGACGAGTATCATATGATCGAACGCTTTGTAAAACCATCACCAAAACATTTGCTTTGGATTACGCTTTAGTTTGGGAAATCAAATAAAAGTGTCAAATGTACCTTGATTACGTAGGATATTCTTTTTTTTAGGCATAGGCAAGTACTAATTGATAAATAAATAATAATTTTATGTATTGTTTGTTAAATTAGCATTGAGAAATTAATAAAGTTGGTGTTTAAAATCTTCTCCTTTTAATAAAGGATCTTGAACGAATATTTAAGATGCATCATGTGTGTGTATTTGTACTATTATTCATTTTCTTTATACTTAATTCATAATTTATAAATATATTCTCGTACGAACATCTCGAATGAGTTTGGCCTAACATCCTTTTGAAAGGGAAAGAGACAGTGACCTCATTATGTGGTTCATACTTCATAATAAAAAGTTGAAACATCTAACATCAAAGAGCCATGCATGATAAATTAATTATGAGAAATATTACTCTCCTTTTACATAAGATTACTTCTCTTCTACTCTCTCATTTCGATTTCCGCACCTCACCTTTTTCTTTTTT